GTAATTCCCAATTCTTCTATCTTCATTTCTGACATGGTCCATTAATGTGCAGCTCTTCACGTACCTCAGGAATCGTATTTCTTCAGTATTAATTCTCTTGTTCCCCTAGATGATGTAACACATGTTTCACATACATACATGAGAGTAATTATGGCCTTTTCTTGGCCAGTTCTGAAAGTCCAAGTCAAAATTTAATTTATATTCTGACTGAAAATCAAAACATGAAGAATTCAGAATAAGCTATTTCAGTATCCCCCCACCTCCACCGATATAACCAATTAGAATGTAAAACTGCATTGTCTAAAAATATGGGTAGTTCAACCATTTGGTTGAACGTTTGAAGATCTTGGCAAAATGTATTAAATTTCTTTTTAGCTACCTTTCTTCTCGAGCAGTGGCATGCTGCCCTAAAACAAATCTTCTGGCTATTACAACACCAAAACTAGCAATATCCTTCTATTCACTTTTAACTGGTGCTCAGCTCAGTCCGTATTTGCTGGGACATACAGGTACAATAACATGCCTATATTTCCATCCCAATGGAGACCAAATATTTTCAGGCAGTTCAGATTCCACAGTAAGGTAAGCAACAAAACATATCTTCACTTAATAATATGATGTGGTTATTTGTAAATTGAAAACTTGCGAATTGCATATTTCTAGATGCTGGAACATATGGTCAGGAAACACAGCAAAAATATACACAGGTCATAAACAACCTGTCACTTGTTTAAGTGCGAATCAGAAGTATATTGTATCTGCAAGTGCTGATGGTGTTATAAAAGGTAAGACCAATAAAAATGAAATTGGAACAATTCTACATCCTTCCAGAATTCAACAAATTGGTAAAAGTTCCAGAAGACAAAATCTTTAAAAATTTACCATGAAGTATTAATTGATTATTTTCCTTGAAATGGCTGAAACTGAAAGACTTCATTATTTACTCAGTACATTAAATGAAAAACCATTTTCCAGTTGGATCTTAAAAATATCTTCAAAATAGTTGCAAAATTGCAAATTGTCTCCATAATTCAATGACAAAGAACATAGTAAGTTTTCCAAGTTCAATTGCTATTGAAAAAATGTTTGTGAAACTGCTGGCAAGTGATCAAACATTTAAAAGCTAGACAATACAACAAATGTGCGACCAATAAACCACATAGGCCTTCTACCATAAAATATTATGTAAGAAAAAAACAGAAAAACATTCCTTCTACTCAAATGTATTAGATTTGTTTTGCCTCTCATGTAAAAAAATTAAGGTCCAAACCAAAAGTAGTTTTATTTTGAAAGAAATTTTATCTACTCTAAGAGTGATTGGTTTTAGACATTCCATGTAACAAATTTATTTTGGAAACTTTTGATGCTTTGGTTACTATCTGAAGGCAAACTTTTATGTCATAATAATAATGTTTAAATCAATATGTCCTAATTTTGGCAAAGTAGTAATTTAGAATTTCAGCAAAGCATACATTCATACTGGCAGTATCCTTTGAACATCAATATGTGGTATTTTTTTTTATATTTGTGAATTGCTTTGAATTGAGTATTATTACCAATAAAAAAAAACTGTTATCAAAGGCAAGAGCTCAGCCTCCAAGTTTTACAATTTGCCATTACATGTGGATTACAATTACAATAATTATAATTTAAATTAATACAAACAAAAAAATCAAGAACGGGTTTCATTAGTACAAAGATGAAATGAATAAAATTGATAATTTTATTACAGAGATAAAAAGACACCTTAACAGGCAATAATTATGGAACTGTTTATTGATCCCATAACAAATGTGATGCATCTCTTGCAATGTGATGCAATTCTTGCAAATTCTTACATTTTATTGAAGACCCTAGAACTTTAACACACCTATTCTGAAGCAAATTCACAGGGATTACTCGTTATAATCAGGAGAGGAAAAATTGAAAGGCAAAGAACAAAAGAAAAAGATACAAATATTCAAATAATCAGTAATGGATTTTTATCCAATAGATAATGACTTCCTTTAAAGCTAATGCATTCTTTTAAATCCTAGGAATGCAGTATCGAGACGTCTTGTAGCATATTAGAAGCAAGAAAATCATACATTTCTTTGCTTTTCGGGCGCTTTTTTCCGCAGATTATCCAGACAGAAGTAAAAAAAACAGAGAGAGAGAGAGACCAAATAATCGAGAATATCCTTTTTAAAATATCTGTAGCAGTACTATTCATTGCAAAGAAACATCATTGTCAACAATGATTGAGGATGTTATTGGAGTAAATCAAAAGAGATTTGGTGGAAATATTAATTTGTGAAAAGCCAGCATACAAATAATGTTTTCCCCCCTCAGAAATGTAAATCAAAAATCCCAGCTTCTAAATTATTACTTTTGTTTTTATTATCATTGTCAACAATAATGTTTCTTTGCAATGAATAGTACTGCTATAGATTTTTCAAAAAGGGTATTCTCGGTTATTTGGTCTCTCTCTCTTTTTTTTACTTCCTTCCTTCCTTCTATTTCTGCAAATCCTTAGTAGGAAAATAATTTTGAAAAAATAAATGAAAACAAAAGTTATAATTTAGAAGCTGGGATGTTTGATTTACATTTTTGAAGTGGAAAAATATTATTTGTGTGCTGTGACTTTTTACAAATTAATATTTCCAACCAAATCTTTTTAGATTTACTTCAATAACATCTTCTAACACAGATTCCTTGTAGGATTCTCATAGGATCTCTGGGGGCAGCAGAAGCCGTGCAGAAAGCTTGGAGAAACGGGATTGGAGGAAAATCTTTCAATCTCATAATAAACACTTGAGCAAGGAGACTGTATTTCTCTTTGTGGCATTTCAATTAATAACATATAAAAAAGTAAATTACACAGATATTAATACAAGTCTATCATCAATTTGTTTTGTCCTTAACCTTCCTCCCTTAAATAGAGATAAGAGATCTAAGTAAAACTACTCCAATTAGATTTACGCTGTGAAAAACAAATTTTAAAATATTATTTTTAATCAACCAAAATAGTGTATAGAGAAGTTCATGAACTAGTCCAAGTACTAAATTGAACCAACATTTAAGAATGTACAGGAAGGCTTGGGTGCACGCACTTGATAATTATGACCCATAAAACAATTTAATTAATTTTACTGATCCATAAATTCAAAATTGCTAGAACAGACAAAATGTTTTAATGATTGGTTTGTGATTACCAAGCTCCCTGGCACAACAAAGCTGTTCTTTCGGTCCTTTTGGAGTAAACTATTAAGAAAATGTCAATGACAAACAAAGCTTTGTTTGAAAGTTATTGATTAGATGTGTCAGATTGCTGCAAACTTAAAAGGCAAGGTATTTTGCAATTGTAAGCATTAACATTAAAAATAAATCTTATCAAACCAACACCTTTTAAATAATACATTTTAACAAATCCACAAATTCCTCTTCAGCCTCTAGAATCTCAATACATTATTGTAACATCAAATTTCTGCACAAACCTGTGTGGAAAAAGCATGCTGTTTTAAGGAATTTCCACAACTTAAAAATTATCTGCTGACAATTTTGCTCTCTCCAATTTAGCCATATATACTCTCTGGCCATGAATGTGAGTGAGTCAGTACTTGGTAGTTTCACATGTGTCAACTACATCATATGTTCATCCCATGGGTAAGAAGCATGTCATAGACAGGAGATGGTGTTATTCTTCCCCTGTTGACACATGAAATCCACCACTGACCTACACGCCTTGGCAGAAATCTCCCCCTGCTCGGTGCGAGGGTTAGGGAAGAAGATGTGTCGAGGATGATAAAGGCAAGATTGTGCATGATCCAAGGCCTATTTAAGGCACAGCTACCGCAGTGCCACCATTCACCTAGTTTTGATCTGTGAAATCACAGGGAAAACAAATCATAGCTACCAGTTGCTATACTTTTCCTCCAGACAGCAGCTGAATTCAACCCAAATACATAAGCTAGTGTAAAAATGCCATATACTTGAACCCTAGGACATTTCTGTCTGTAAAGTTGCACAAGCAACAATTGGTGTCATTGCACCACCTCACCTGGTAACCATGAATTTGGATATGCTCAATTTGCAATAGTACAGAATGAGAAAGGAATGTTTATATTTTTTATGTATATCTTTTCATACTTAACCAAAATCATTAAGGTAATTTACAAAATTTTTGTTTTAAATTTTCAAACAAATCAATTATTAGACCACAATTTCTTTTAAGACCTAGCCCCAAAACTTTCTGATTTGCACCAAATTATAAATATGTGGTTAATATGCTAAAACAAAAAATTTAAAAACAAGAAAAACCAACTCCAAATGAAATCCACCCGATAGTTCACTTCCAAAAATATATGTGTTTTGAAGTAAACTATACAATAAGCCTCTTAAAACAATTCTCAAATAAAATGAATTTAAATGAACAATAACTTGCACAGAAATATTCATATTCTAATATCAAGTTCCCTTCCAGTTTTTAACATCTTGTCGGGTCAAAAAACTGCTACATATTCAGAAGTTCATGCTGCCTCATGTATCTATATGGAAAGTAATCTATTAAATATTATTTCTGGAAATGATTGTGGAGAAATAAAAATTTACAACAATCCAGAAATGAAATTAAAAGTAAGTCTTAGGGTAATGTAAAAGGTGCAAAAGCATCCCTCAAATCTAGTAATTTCTACTTGTATTTCTCTTGCAGCCAGTAATTATTCAAGCTCATAATGGCCGCATACTATCTATGTATGTAGCATCAAATATCATTCTCACTGGTGGTAATGACTGTTATGCCAAGGTTTGGAATAAGAAAAGACTAAAAAAGTGCCTTCTTTCATTGAAACACAACAGGTAGAGAAATCAAATTTGTAAGAAATGCAAACATTTTAACAAAATATTATTCCAAGTATTCTTTAACATTTACAAGTAGCACATAATTTTAAATACGTAATTCACCTTTTTACCTGTAACTTTGTAGCCCAGTAAGAAGTATTTTATTATCTTATCACCAAGTTTTGTGCGGCTGTGAATCTGGACGAATTAAAATATGGTGCATATATAGAGGCACTTTGCTTCATATATTTTCAGTCACTCCTGAATTACAACCCATAATGCATATTCTATTAAGCGACAACAGTAACCCTTCAAACGTAACTATCTTATTATATATAGATATAAATTAATGATATATAATTATAGATTGGACAGACAGCATCCATTAACTTGAAAATTTTTGAATCAAAATGGAATATAGTGGTGACTCCTATGAAAATTATTTTATATTACTTAACAAAATTAACCTATTATAATAAATTTTTAAGTCTTGTTACTTATTGTTATAATAGAAATGTTTAAAATAGATAATCTTCAATATTAAATTTAAAAAAAAATAATTACTCTCTCTTTGCAAGGTTGTAATAGCAACAGACAGTTGTGTGAAAATTATTGAATTCTACAAAAACCCAGATCATTCTTCTCACTCTCACCATACCGTATGTTTGAATGATCCTACAAGAACTAAATCTCCCTATATTCCAGCATGTCAGTGGACAACACCAGCAGCCACAACAGGTAATCAACTTTAATTTTAATTGATCATTTTCCCCAACCTGATCATACGATGAAAACCTACGTAATAAACAATTTGTCCCACTATGGCTAAAAATGAACTGTAAACTTTTATGTTCTCTGCTCATTAAACTAAAAGTATTATCCAAATCTGTATAGCAAATTAAGAAAAAGGACTAATTCTAAAACTTCTAAACTGTAGAATGTTGGAGGGTACAAAACAGTCACTCTTACCATTTCAACTGAACTGTTTATTTCAAAATGGGCCATCTACTATCTGCAAAAAATTAGAGTCAAGCTCATTTGGTTCAGAATATGCTTCCAGCTTCCTTGAACGTGAAAACATCACCTATTAATTCTTGATAATCTAAGATTTAATGAGGATGATGTGGTTTTTGTTTATTTCAAACAGGCCACTTCTCCAGAAACGTGGCAATTTCCTACAAGCATTTGCCAGACAAATGCTGGTGAATTACAAAATACATTAAAATACAAGCCCTATTTTTTTTTTAATCATTTTTTTCTCCAGAATTAACCTGATTTTACCTACTTCACTGGTATTTCATGAGCTCTGTTTTCCGTTATGATAAAATGAACTGGAACAAATAGACTGCCATCAATACTACACAAGTATGTCATAGAATTGGGATTTATGCAAACATCTAATTGGTCATACAATCAACTTAGCTAGAATTTCCTTCTTTGGTTGTGTGTAGGAAAGAGTTAAAACTGAGTGCATACATACAAGTCTGAACCTTGTGTTTCCTCTCCCAGATTAAGAGATCAATATTTTGAACATAAAAAATTTAATTCATTATTTGAATTTGTAAGTTTCATCACCCATGAAAAAGTCAGGTTTAAGTTCTACTTTGATTAGTTCCAGATAGTTGGAATTGCACATCACTACATCTCCAATAAATCATGATTAAAAAATGTTTCAGAAATACTGAGGCATTCAGACAAGATCTCACAAGGCGGAATAACTCTGCAAGAAAGTTTCTACCACAAAAGATTGCGAAATATATTAAAAACATACTGTACAGATAGACAACTGAGAAATAAACAACCACCAAATACACAAGAAAACATCTTTATTGATGCACTACGGGTATGTATCATCTTATGTAATACATGCACGAATTGAAAGACTATCGCACAAATGAAATTAGTTTCAGAATGTATCAAATATTATATTAATTAAACTTGCATTTTCAGTTCACTGCCTACCATGATCGATGTAGAGCTTGTGATTGCATAATTGTGAAAAGATAGTCTCACAACTTTTTTTTTTATATGTACCTACTAGATTTATTGTGGTACCTACTAGATTTATTGTTAAAATCTATTGGTTACAATAATTTAACAAGTAGATTTGTCATACTTAAATGAACTTAACAATGTAGTATTTTCCTACTTTAGACTCAAAGCAAAAAATATAAAATTCTATTACATAAATAATTTTATTCTTTCAGTCTGTTCCACAATTTTCTCAACTGCAGTTTCACTTGACATCTTTCCCTCGAAATACATCAAATGTTCAATTGAAGAGATGCACAGGAAAGAACAGAAGAAATATTTGCTGAACATCAGTTATTACAAAGAACTGGTTCAAGTTCAATAAAAAGACAATATACAAAAACACTTGTTTTATTTATTACATACATGTAAAAGCAACAACTTGAAAATTAAACTGATATTACTGTTCCATTTTCAATATCAATTACTCGTCTACCACGAAAGACGTGTACAATTTCTTGGGTATCTTCTGGAAAGAAAGGTTGTTTCATTGCATTCTCAAGAGCCAACATGCACCCCTCTATATTCCATGTCAGCTTCAGGCTTTTATCCTCACTTTTAATTAAACCAAGATGCACCAAAAGTGCATTATTTACAATTGAGAATTTGTTTGTTTTCTTAGCCCACTTAAACAACTCTTCATATAAAAGATTACAACATGAAAATGCAGCTTGGCGTACTTGTTCTGCATTACACACACTTAAAGAAGACACTTTCATTAAAACTACTAGAAGATTGTCCACAAAAGCATCTCCAGAACAACTACTTATTTCATGAAGAAGGATCCGCGATCTGTTTTCTCCTAATGCTAAGAAGCGTTCTGGAGTAGAATTTTCTAGGAAATCCTTAACCACTGGAGGCACTTCCGGTGTATCAATTTTTAGCAAAATTGATCCATTGTTTTTAATATCTCCGTTACTTTCTGGAACTGTACCATGGTCTTTATCACTTTCATCAGAACTAATTCCACTATTCTCACTGTCCTCTTCTTCTTCTTCTTCCTCCTCCTCTTCATCTTCCTCATCCTCTTCTCCCTCATCATCCTCTAGACTATCTAAGGCACTAATCTGGCCACTTTCTTCCAGTTCAGCAGATAAATCTGATATACCTTGTTCTCCAAATTGGTTCCCATTTAATGCCAGCTTTTTGAGATTGGTCTTATTTCGCACAGCTTTTGCCAGCATAATGCCTCCTTTGGAACCTATTTCATTACTTTCAAGTAATAGTTTCTCCAAGTTTTTGTGGTCATTTGTTAGGGCTGCAGCTAAAGTAACGGCACCTTTTGTCCTTAGAAGACAATCCCCAAGATCAATTTCTCTCAGCTTTTGAAGAACAGGAAGTGCACCAACAATTGCACTTACACCTCTCAATGTAACAGTATTGTCATTCAAATTTAAAACTTCTAGATTAGGATTACATTTAAAAGCCTCAGCTAAAGCTGATATACCCACATGGTATATCCCATTTTGGGGCATATGAATTTCTTCCAAAGTACCCACTGTTTTAAAAACCTCAGCTAAAGCTCGGGCACCATCATTTTCAAGTCTATTCCGTCCAGCAACAAATACTCGTAATCTCAAAGATTTTCCAATTTCCTTACCTTTAGTATAGCAATCTAATAGACCCTTGGCAAGCATTTTTCCACCACTTATGCCCAAACCATTATTGTTTAATTTCAATATTTCTAAAGAATAACAAGTTGCACTTTGTAATAAAACCACCATACCTTCCACACCAATAGGTCCAAATGCATTATCACTTAGTTCCAGTTCAGTGAGTTGAGCACTAGCTAGCATTAAACCACTTCCCAGATACTGTAAAGCCTTCGGAATTTCTGTTTTCATTCTGCCAGTAAACAAATCTTTCCATAATGCCCTCTTCAATTCACCATGCGCTTCCAATGCTTTGGCAATAGCTTTAGCAGAGTCGACTCCCAAGCTGTTGCCCTCCAAATCCAAGAAGTGAAGATTTGAGCACGCTTCAATTGCTTCAACAACTTCACGCGCGTCGTCTTCCGTGTTCAGTTTCAAAGATCTTCCTTTAAAACTAACACCACTTGAAGAACCAACAGAAGTTTTCTGAAGTTGTCTAGTTACTTCGTCCAAATCCACTTCCGTCATAGTGGGAAATTAATTTCACCACACTCGAATCTCACCGAAACTTACTCGTTACCCCTAACAAATTTACACTCTCACGATGAAGTCGTTTTGCCTTTAAATTGTTAGTAAACACGAAATACAATATAGTATTATACTGTCAAAAGTACCCGAAATGCCGTTAACACGTTCACTACTTGATATTGCAGATTACCATAACCGCGAACTTGTCAGGGGGGGCAACAAAACAATTAACAAATTATTCATACAGTTTTGCCCGGGAAAAGCGTGCTTGCCCTACATTATTTCTCGCCAGTATATTTTATTTAAGCGATAAAAAATGAATATCAATTGAATGACACAAACAAATTTTAAAGACAAAAACCATTTATAAAAACAAAAAAAATCTACGCAGGAATTTCACAAATGTTATTTTAAAGATAATGCCCTTAAATATATCAATTCTTATTTGATCGTGTTTATTCAATGGAAATGATAATCGTCGTAATATGAGATCATGACAGAATTTAAAAAAATGATCTTTAACTTCTTCTCACTACAAAAGAACTGCGAATTATTTTCAAAATCATTAATACTAATGTTGGTGAAACTGCAAATTTTACGATGAAGATTTTGCGGGAAGATTGAATGCATCTCCAAATCAAGCATAACAAAACTTAGGTATACTGAAATATTAAATATAAAAGTCGATCACAATTAGACTGTATGTAATAAAAACAAGAGTATATTTGACCTGCTTACTACTCTACGCAAGACATGATCTTCTGCTAACGCTTGAAGCTTGAATCATATATTAATATTATTAATTGTTTAACCAAATATATACTGCTGAAGAATGGCACAGACTTTCTCCTGCTAGTTAGTTTCCTAATCTTTTCAGTGTCTCTTGCTTGGAAATGTTTTTAGATTACTACGTGTCTCAATTATGCGGCAATGCAATATTTTTGAAATACTAAAATTTTAACATAGCAACACTACAATATTAATGCCAATTTTTTTAACTTTAAGCAATAAGTTCTCCAAAATTGGATCTTCAAATTAGTCATTTTTTAATATATGAGTAGTTTCGAGTAACTTTTGCAAATATTCAAAATTTGAATTTGCGTTTCTTATGCTGAAGGCAGATTTTACGAACTAGCTGAAAGTTTAGTTGAACATAGTTTGCAATACTACAAAACCAATATTACGTACTATTACAGATAAAACAAACTAAGTGCTGGGGGGAACATTTTTCTTAAAGTAAGACTGTTAGTAGTTTTAATGTATTTGAGATTGCAGCTTAGTTCATATCAGGTTGCAATATGAGAATGGCATTTCCCCAATGAGGCAGTTTGAAATTTACAGAAATACTTTTTATTGTTATGCAATCAGGTTCCTCGCTGTATGAAAAAGTAGTTGTTGATTGTCAAATATGTATTGATGTATTAACTGTAGAAGAGTTAGCTTTCACACCTCATGCGCTATGATTGCTAACAAGTTTTTCAAGTAATTGCTGAGATGTGTTAATAAGACCATACATTGTGGTACGCCGTTACTATTATGGAAAAGTATGTGACATTGTAGCACCACAAGTTAATGTGTAATTTACAAAAGGTATTAGACAACAAATACTAATTTTTTCATAATAAAAGAGCCAAACAGAAAGACTTGGAACTGAGCAACTAAATTGCAGAAAATATCAAAATGTCAACTTACTTTTACATAAGTTTCAATATTTTGCACATTTATGACTAGCCTACCCACTTAACGGAGTGGGGATACCCAGAAAAGCTAACCTTCAAAAATATAATAAGTGTGTGAGATAATAGCATAATTTTCTAGATTATGGCCTAAGAAACAACTCTGGTCCCGAGGGAGGGGAGAGTAAAAACTAAGTTTGATTATTTCGTGATTCAGGGATTGTCAACTGTCATGGTCATTAGCCTCATGGTTAAAATACCAATATTTCCACAATTAGTCCCGTAAGCTTTACTTTCTCCCTACGGAGTAGAGAGAAAGTAATGTAATCGGAGAATTTTCGGCAGAAAAACTCTTATTAATGGCACTGGTAAGGAAAATATGTATATATCTAGTTGCTAAATTTAGAAAAAAATTCTCTATCATGTGCTGTAGCCAGAATCCATGTTTTGTGATTCCTTGATATCCAAAAAACGATTGACGACAAAACGTCTGTCTGTCCGTCCGCCCGTCTGTGAAAGACGCTAGCAGCTAAACCATTCAGCCGATTTTCTCCAAAATTGATATTCGCCAATCGATCTGGCTGATTTCACAGCCCCTTGAAATTGAAATTTTAATTTTACGGGGTATTTCTCATGAAGTCCGTGGGACATTTTCCAAATTTTTAAAAAATGTCTCCATCGCTTTTGATTAAATTTTGTTGTTGGATAGTCTGAAGGACGTTTAAGGGAATGGTGCAGGATTCATGATTTGTTTTTGTTTTTTTCGAGAATGGTAAAAGTTAAATTTTTTCGGAGTTTTCCTACAACTAAAATATTAAAGATAGAGATTTTTACCTTAATGAAATATGTTCCTTAAAATTTGATTTTAAACTATGGTCATGTACAATTTTTCGAAAATTTGTATACTTTTCGTGTACTTTTCTTTGAAAATACGGGGCAGAAAGTTTATACTCTTTCAGCACCACTAATTTACTTTCTCGCTGCCGCTTATGCGATACGTTCGATCTTCTGCGCATGCGCAGCTCAAGTTTCGCACTTCGGTGTATGCTCGGTACCTATGCATGCTCAGATCGATGGTGCTATCCGCTATGGGGTGCTCAAACTTCCTATTAGGGAGGTTTTTGCACCCTCGAACCAGAGAGTATTTCGAACGTTGAAGCAATCGAAAGCACTATCGATATCAAAGAAATCGAGTGAAATCGAGAAAGAACTTTTGCACGATTAGGTCGAAACGTACAAGTCGCAATGGAATAAGTTCCAAATTATGACAACAGATAGTGCTGCTACAGTGAAACTATCAGCTGTTCTGTTCGTGTTACTTCATTTGGGACTTTTGTAAATTTTCATTACTAGTATATATAACACTTGATAATAAATAAAATTAGTATTAAAATTTGTACCCACATCTCACACATTTACATTTTAATACTAGCATTCTTATGTAAAATATGTAAAACAGAAATGAAGTACATGTGGATTTAAGTATGAAAAGTATTATACAACAAAAGGAACTAGAACAATGAGAGAAATACAAATATTTTTCTTCCCTAATTCATTTTGTTAACCAAAGTATTCACTATTTCAGTAATATATTAGAATCATATAATTTTTTCATTAGATAAATAATGAGTCAACTTGATTGGCATTACCTACACCTTGACATAATGATACACTGACAAACTACATAGTGTATGTTAATATTCACACAATGTGACAAGTGAGTCAAGACCTATTTTCATTGAATACAGGATTCAAAATCCCATTGCACTCATGGAAGCCTTCAAAATTACAACGTATTAGTATTCTACAATTAAACTGAAATTTATAATTTCCGTAAGGAGGTAAATACAGAAGCTCTCTTCTGTATCGTCTCCTATATTTCTTCAGTAGTATACATACCTTTTGCGACTCTCCCACGCAAACAATATTTATAAATGAGGTCTTTAAAGAAAGAATTTCAAGGAGACGTGTCGAATTGCACTTTAACTTTAAAAATATGAAGGATTTGTTTTAAAAAACGCATCGCATTCATGGCAAATGCAACCCGCAACGTTCGGTTAGTTTTATCGTTAAATAACTCCTCCTGAAAGCCTTAAAAACTTAACTTTTGATGCCAAAGACCTCAAAGGAACGCTTCTCACACCGTATTATACAGAATGAGATATTCTTAGACATTCTAATAATTTTTGCCCGTTTGATGCTTATCGATCCTACCAATACTACCTATACATGGAGGAAAACAGAAAATATTCCTCCATGGCCTATATTTCAGTCCTTGGTGCTGGTGGCCATCTTCGTGACGTCTCGCTTAGAAGACTTAAATTCTTCCACCTATTTACGCTTTCTGAGTACACCGTGGTTTGCGCAAACTGATAAGGGTTTTTTGTAATCATTAATTCAAGATCAGCTCTCACAGCAACGACTAGAAGTACTATCAATAGTTGTTTGATACCTATGAAGATTTTTCTTATGCGTGTGCAACCATTCATTTAGTTTTGCCGTTGTCTGCAAGTGTTATGTACCTATTTGTGGAAGGAACTACGATGGAAACGGACCACATGATCTCATAATTCATTTTCACGTACCCTTAGGAAAAATTAGGACGAGAGTTCTCGCACTGGTACGCTACTTTAGATTTAATGATAAATCAATACTAGAAATGTGCTTCACATTTCATGGGGGTGGTTCAAGTAATTCAAACTTTAGTAAATTTGTATGCTGGTGAAGAAATACAATGCAATAATCTACGCTAACAAAATTTTCCTATTAATCCCGATATACATCATTTGACCCTCTAACTAGAAATGATACAACTATTTTATTTTTTCAATTAATTTCTTTTTAATGACATTTCTTCCTTTGCGACCGTCCTTTCCGTATGAGTAATTCACTTTTTTAATACATTCAATGAATGTATTAAAAATCAAATTTTTAATACGTATTAAATAAGTTACAACTGACAATGAATTCGGCAATTGAAACTTTGAGATTAATAGGAGAACTCATATAGTGCTAAAAAAAACTTAAATAAAATTATTTGAAAAACACGAAGTGGCAGCGAAATTGCGCCATGGCAATACAGTTAGCAGCACACTCTGCCGCCAGAGTTGAGAACAAATTCCATATAAAATGGCCGAATGATCAATTACCTTACGATATTAATGGAAAGAATGGGGAGAAGGGAGTGGCTTCATCTGGGTCAGCACGGTTTCTCATGCGAAAGTCAGCTAGTCTCACATCTACAGGACCTAGCTGACGAGGTTGATCAAGCGAAAAGAGTTGACGCGATAGTAATAGATTTTTCCAAAGCTTTTGACGATGTTC